GCTGAAGCCCGAGCTCAGGCCATCGATGACTTCAAGAAGTCTGATGAGTTCAAGACTCTCCTGGGTCAGTACGGGTCTGGCTCGTACTACTATGGGTTGCGGCTAGCTCGGTCATTCCTTAGGACGAAGCTCCCCGAGGATTTGAAGCCTATAGTGGAGGAGTTAAAGACTGTGAACGAGCTCGCTAAGGACCTCGAGCTATCCTCCTCCGAGGGTGATGGGGACGATGACGACGACGATGTTGGAACCCCCGACAATGGAGGGGGGAGTGACCACATCGACCTAGACTAGACCCTTCCTCGACCCCGAGTCTGACATTTTTGTAATAATTTTTCTTTTGCTAATGTTGTTTGCCCGATCTGGGCTTATGTACTTATTTTGATTTTGATTATATGCAAGTTTATTACCCGAACTGGGCCTCTGTCTTTGAGAAGGAATTTTATCAGTTCATGCGTTTATTATTCCTACGAGATCGTGCGTTGATTCTTTATTGTAATTTTGAATTCGAGTTTGCATTATAGTTTAGAGTTCAGTTGTTAGTGAATGTCGTGTCCTAATCTTTAAACTTATAGCTCGTGCGCGTGGAATATTTCGGGTCTTTTTTATCGTCGAACTATTAACAGGATCCTTCAAACAATAATGGTCGTGGGGCGTCAATTTTCGAGTTCAGTGGTGTATTGTTGGGAGAAACTAGATCGTGCACCAGTGTTGAATTCTTGTTCATATCGAGGGTTGACCCCAACATCTAAGTTCGGTGGTGTATTGTTGGGGGAACTAGATCGTGCACTAGTGTTGAATTCTTGTTCATATCGAGGGTTGACCCCAACATCTAAGTTCTGTGGTGCATCGTTGGGGGAACTAGATCGTGTACTAGTGTTGGATTCTTGTTCATATCGAGGGTTGACCTGACCTCGATCTTAAAATTCGTGCATCGTCAATGATTCTAGGATCATCTAGGTCAGGGATAACTGTAAGTGCGCAATTGCATCATGACCCCACCTCGATTTGACGATTATTTCGTTTTACGTCATTCTGGGATCGATAAGGTCGGGCTTATATGCTCGACCTATAACAGCTTGAGGTCGTGTGTGGAATTGGTAAACGTATTAGCTGCATGCGCGGGACACGACCTTATGCCAATTTAGTAAAGGTATTAGCTGCATGCGCGGGGCACAACCTTACGCCAGTTTATTAAATGTATTAGCTGCATGCGCGGGGCACAGCCTTACGCTAATTTAAGTAAAGGTATTAGCTGCATGCGCGGGGCACGGTCTTACGCTAATTTAAATAAAGGTATTAGCTGCATGCGCAGGGCACAGCCTTACGCCAATTTAAGTAAAGGTATTAGCTGCATACGCGGGGCACGACCTTATGCTAATTTAAGTAAAGGTATTAGCTGCATGCGCGGGGCACGGCCTTACGCTAATTTGATAGGGGATCAATATCATAAAGAAAACTTCTTATGTGTTATTAAAAAGGCTCAAGGGCGTTTCATACCCGAGCTTATTTGAGCATGAGCTAACGGGACATTAGAGCTTGAAAAGTAAAAACGAAATTAAGAGAACATGAAGCGGGCATGCAAGCCCTAAAGGAAAATTATAGCTATAGCTAATCACTTGTAATATATTTTCAGATTGTTGGCGTTCCATGGCCTTGGGAGTGGATTCCCCGATGTATCTCTGAGGCTATAGGCTCCACCTTTAAGTTTTCTTATGACCTCGTAGGGTCCTTCCCATGTCGGCCCAAGTTTCCCTAGTTGGTGCCCGACGACTTCTGCTTTCCTTAGGACAAGGTCGCCGGCTCTAAATCTCCTGTTCTTGACCTTGTTGAAGTGCTTTGCCGTTCTGTTTTGGTAACTTGCAGTCCTAAGGGAAGCTTGCTCCCTTACCTCTTCAAGTAAGTCGAGATGCTCGGTAGTTTGTGTCTCCTTTTTTATCTCGAGCTTTCTTATTGTGGGGAGGCTAACCTCGATTGAAATGGTAGCCTCAAGTCCAAAAGCAAGCATGAATGGTGTTTCACCAGTTGCTGTCTTGTGTGAAGTCCTATATGCCCATAGTATTGAAGGCAGCATGTCAGGCCAGTTACCTTTGGCATTCCCTATCCTTGTTTGGAGGTCCTGCAATATAATCCGATTAGTTACTTCGGCTAACCCATTACTTTGTGGGTGTGAGATCGAGATCAGGCGATGATCAATGCCATTGCTGGCGCAGAAGTTCTTGAACTGGGGATTGTCGAATTGCTTTCCATTATCTGTGATGAGGACTTTTGGTATCCCGAATTTGCATATGATGGACTTCCATATAAATGATTTGAGCTTCGGTTCTGAAATTGTTGCTAGAGGTTCGGCTTCTACCCACTTTCTAAAATACTCCACTGCCACAGCTACAAATTTTAATTGTCCTCGGGCCAAGGAAAAAGGCCCAAGAATATCAACTCCCCATTGCTCGAAGGGAGCTGAGTCGTGAATGGATGTCAGTTCCTCAGCAGGAGTATGTATGATGTTGCCAAACTTTTGGCACTTGTCGCACTTCCGGATGTAATCTGTGGCATCTTTCTTCAGACTTGGCCAGTAGTATCCATACCTTATCAACTTATGTGCAAGAGCTCGGGCTCCTTGGTGATTTCCACAAATGCCTTCGTGAATTTCAGTCATTGCTTGAAGGGACTTGGAGGGTCCGAGACACCTTAGATAAGGGAGTGTAAGACTTCTGCGGAACAGGACTCCTTCGATTATGCAATATCTAGCAGCTCTATACCGAATGCTTCGGGCAAGCCGAGGGTCTACAGGAATGTTGCCATTACTTATGTAATCGACTATTAGATCCATCCAGGAGGGCTCATGGTCGATGTCCATGATACTTGACTTCTGCGCTATACTTGGTTCTACAACCATCTTGATGTGCACGGTTCTATCGAGCCCGTCAACATCCATGAAGACGAGTCTGGATAATGCATCGGCTTTGGCATTTTCGGCTCTGGCTACCTTCAGAATTTCACAACTTACGAACTGCCTCTGGAGGTCATGTACTTTCAAACAATATAAGCTCATTTTTTCATCCTTTCTTTCGAAAGACCCCTCGATTTGCCCGACCACTAGCTGCGAGTCACTGAAAACTTTGACATGCTCGCACTCAAGATTTTTCGCGAGTTCTAGGGCTATAACAACGGCTTCGTACTCTACTTCGTTATTGGTAGCCTGGAATTCAAATCTGAGAGCGCATTGTATCTCCGTAATCTTGTCCGGACTTGTGATAATAACGTCGGCCCCGAGCCCGAGCTATTGGATGCTCCGTCAACAAAAATTTCCCATACTCCTGAGATCGAGTTCAGGCTCCCGACTGGTGTTTTTGAGGATCTCGAAGTAAGCTTTGCTATGAAGTCGACTAAAGCTTGGGCCTTGATTGCAGGTCGTGGCTTGAATTCTATGTCAAATTTGCCGAGTTCAATTGCCCATTTCAGCAGTCTTCCTGAGACGTCCGGCTTCTGAAGTATATGTCTGAGAGGTTGGTTGGTGAGCACAACAATTGGATGTGACTGGAAGTATGACCGTAATTTTCTAGTAGCCATTACTAAAGCAAGGGCGAGCTGTTCCGCAAGTGTGTATTGTGTTTCTGCATCGAGGAGCACTTTACTTACAAAGTAGATAGGTTGCTGAACTCTTCCTTTTTCCTTTACCAAGACACCGCTTACTGCGTTCTGAGAAATGACCAAGTATCATAGTAGCGTGTCACCAGGTTCGGGTTTAGTAAGGACTGGAGGCGTTGATAATGTCTGTTTAAGCTCCTGAAAAGTTAAGTTGCATTCCTCGTTCCAGTCGAACCCTTTATTTTCCCTAAGTAGTTTGAAAAAGGGGGAGCACTTGTCAGCTACCCGGGAAACAAACCTGTTTAGTGCTGCTATGCGACTTGTCAACTTCTGAATGTCCCTTTTGCATTTAGGGGCCTCCATACTTAGTAGAGCTTGGATTTTATCGGGATTTGCCTCTATTCCTCTGTGCGTGATCATAAAACCCAAGAATTTTCCAGATGCCATCCCAAATGCACATTTTGCTGGGTTGCGCTTCATGTTGTACCTCTGCAACGTAGCAAACACTTCCTCTAGATCAGAAACATGGCTATTCAACTGTTTACTCTTGACCACCATATCATCCACATACGCTTCGACTGTTTTCCCAATTAGCTTGGCAAAGATCTTGTTCACTAACCTTTGATATGTTGCTCCAGCATTCTTCAGACCAAACCAAAGGGCATGACCCTGTAGCAGTAGATGGCTGAATCTGCCATGAACGAGGTCTTCTCTTGATCGTCTTCTGCCATGAGAATTTGGTGATACCCCGAGAAAGCATCCAAGAAGCTGTACAGCATATGACCTGACGTGTTATCTACGAGATTGTCAATTCTAGGTAGGGGATAACTGTCTTTGGGGCATGATTTATTCAGATCTGTGAAGTCAATGCAAACTCACCACTTTCCATTAGCTTTCTTGACAAGAACTACATTGGCAAGCCATTCGGGATATTGTACCTCTCGAACGAACTGCGCATTAAGGAGTTTGGTAATCTCCTCTTTTATGACTTCTCGTCTTTTCGGTGCAAACTGCCTCTTCCTTTGCTTCATAGGTCTTGCTTCCGGGTTCACGTTAGGTCTATGTACTGCAACCTCTGGATCAATTCCAGGCATGTCCTCAACATTCCAAGCGAATACATCAATGTTTCGGGAGAGACAGCTTAGAAGTTCAGCCATGATCTCTGTATCTAACCCCCGACCAACTGTCACTTTTCTTCCGGGCTGGATCTCGACCTCCTCTAATCCTTCTACCGGAGCCAGCCTTCCGTAATTTTCGTGCTCGAGCTCGAGCTCTGTAACTTGCATGACGTCATTTTTGATTTTTCGAACGCTAGTCACATAACACTGTCAGGCCACCATTTGGTTGCCTCGGACTACCCCGATGCCATTAGGAGTAGGGAATTTCACAGCCAGGTGAAAAGTTGAGACAAGAGTTCAAATTCTGTTGAGCATTGGTCTTCCCAATATGGCGTTGTAAGCCATTGGCGTACGAACGACTTCAAAGGTAGTGATTTGCATCACATGTTTACCTTCGACTCCCAATGTTAAGGGTAACCCAACGATACCTTCCGGGGTGATGACCCCACCTCCGAACCCTTGGAGGGATGTTTTCACTGGCTTTAGTTGTTCTGACGAGATCCCCATTTGAACAAAAGCTTCATGAGACAGCATGTTTGCTGCACTTCCGTTATCTACCAGAATTCTCTTGACTTCAAAGTTGGCGATGATGGCCGATATGACAAGGGCATCATCGTGGGGGAATGCTATGCCTTCTAAGTCATCCATTCCAAAATTGATGTCCTCTGTACGACCAAGATCTGGTCTTGAGATGATTGGACGCTGCCTGGCATATTGTTTTCGCCCACTACTAGAGTCTCCTCCCGAGTCTGTTCCTCCGACAATGATATTGATAGTGCCTACATTTGGTTGCTTGTTTCCCCGATCCTCTGGGCCTTTCCCCTCGTTCTGGTTATTCCTTGGGTGTTTCTCATTGTTAATGTAAGAGCTCAGAAATCTCCTTCTTATAAGAGCTTTGATTTCCCGCTTTAAGGCTAGACAGTCTTCTGTTGTATGGCCGTGATCTCTATGGAAATCATAGTATTTACTCTTGTCACGAGTATCGGGGGGAGACCGCAATCAGGGAGGCCATTTCAGTTCCCTAGAGTCCTTGATTTCCATCAGGATGTTGGACCTCGAAGTGTTCAGATGGGTAAAAGTCGTTGAAGGTGGATCCTTTCTTGGTTTGACCCTAGGTGTCTCTAGCCTTAAGCTGGACTCATGTGGCCTTTTCTGATCCAACCTCCCTGATGAGCTAACTTTCCTTTTTGGGGCCATGGTTTCTTCCATATTCATGTATTTCTCAGTCCGTGTGAGTAGCTCGTTTACTGACTTCGGCGGGGTTTTAGACAAGGACATTTTGAATGCTTCGCACTTGATGGCGTAAGTCAGAGCTGAGACTGCAGCTGTGATATGTAGGTCGGGGATCTGAAGCCTTTCTTTATTGAACCTGGTCATGAAACTGCGCAGTGTTTCGTTGGGTCCTTGACGCATCTGCACGAGCGATGCGGCTGTCTTTCTGATTCGTTTGCTGCTGCACAAAGCGAATAACTTATCAGCCAAATCTGAGAAGGAGGTGATAGAGTTCGGTTCCAATGTGGAAAACCAATCTCTAGCCGCATTTGTGAGGGTTTGGGGGAATGCCTTGCACATTACCGCATCTAGTGCAACTCGTAAGTTCATGATATCCGTGTATACATTGAGATGATTGATGGGGTCAGTTGTCCCGTCGTATTCCTTTATCCGAGGATACTTGAACCTATCGGGAAGGGGGTACGAGAGGACTTCTGGAGTGAATGGTGTATTGGGGGTGAACCTTGTTGCTGCCCGAGTATTTTGTTGCATACCCACTGCTATCCCTTCTTGAATAATTCTTGCAAGTTTGGCGAAGTCTATTGTAACGGACCTTGAACCTGATGCAACTTGTGGTACCCCTGAGGTTCCAACCCCATCGTCATCATGGGCTGCATGATGAATTCGAGTCCGGGCATCTGCCATAAAGCCACCTTCAGGTGTTGGGGTGTGTGATGGATGCGAATTTCTCTGACTTAGCAGTTGGGTCAATGCAACCACCTGCTGGTGAAGTTCCTCAAAAGCTCCGGCGGAAACAACAGCTTGAGGAGGTGCTGGCATCTCCGACGACTCTTCTTGAGGGGTATGGTATTCCTCAGGAGGTGGAGGGATATCCGGGACGGATGAGCTTGCTGGAGGAAGATCTAAACGTGTATTGATCATGGCTTTTGGTAGCGAATTTCCCACAGACGGCGCCAATGATGCTACCAAAAAATCTCACCTGAAGATCTCGAGCTTGATGACTGAGATGGAACACAAACTGCACCTTCCAGTACCTGAAACAAAGGCAACGAGATGTGTGCTCGTCGCCCCTCCGATGCTTAAGTCAGATAGGAAATTTAATGCGTGAGGCTATAAACTGAGGATAATAATGAAGAACATACATTTGGAATGAGCACATGTTGTGTATTTATAGGTGTTAGCGGTAGAGTCCTAGGAGGACTTATTCTGCCACGGTCCTTCTCCTCGTAGGAAAAGGAGTTGGTATTTCACCTCAAGTATTCAAATCACTGTTTGAGTCAAAGAAGGAGTCTAACAAGGTAGGGATTGTGTTCAAGGTAGGATTAGTGCTTCCATAGGTCACATAGAAAGGTTGACGAGTCGACACCTATACCCCCGACCTTAAATGTCCGACCTTGTTTTGGTGTTTTTAGAGGATACATAGATCGAGGTTGTAGGTGTTCGGGGTAAACTAGTCGAGTTCGATACTAACGAGATCTGGAATCATCAATTATCATTAGTGAGGTTGAATAGCATTTCTCCTAGTTGTCTAGTCCTCTCATTTTTAAGCCTTTCTATTTTTTTGCATTTACTTAGATGAAGAATTTGGCGTGAAATTGGACTTCTTTCCTTTCAAAAGATTTTGGCCTAGTTTGATTATTATCGTGGACATGCCAAAGTCTCAACTTTAAACTGGGCAGCAAACTTGCACGAAGCTACAGAGAGATCAATACCAAGCCAAAGAGGGAGATAATATTGATTGTGCATGAATATGATCTAATATAAAATCAAAAATTAAAATGACTAGGAAAAGAATGTATTCTCCTCGAGTAACAGGGTGAACTTTGCTTTCTTTGTAAGTTCATCAAATGAAAAGTTCAATTTTTGAAGCACAAACTGTTCCTAACATGGAATGCTACTAAAGAAGATCAGCTTCCCTTTTAGCTTAATCAAAATCCGTCCTTTGTCCAACTATACCACGCCATATAATTTTCACATGCACGAGGAGCATGGGCATGGTTTTCTCATCTAGATACTGATTTGAACTTTTCTTGTAAGCATTCAGTTCTTCTTCTAGGCCTTTGTTTTCTTCATTGAACTCGCCCCAATCCTTCTTTGTCTTATCGAGTACACTCAGTTTTTGTTTCTTTTTTATTTGTTCAAGAACAGCATCAACAGCAGAAATTGAACCGACTGTTCCTTTATCTTTATCAGATGCCTCTTTTGAGATAGCATCAACAAATTCTCACTTCGACTTCCTCGCCAACAATGTCCCGAAATTCAGAATTCTGCCAAAGTACCAAATAATTGAAATATTAATGCTAACGGTATATTCCGTCATAATCAAACAGCTGTCCACAAAATGTGTCAAGAGTATCAGAGCTTCTGAACTTGGACAAGTAACCAGCTGCTACAATCATTTTATAATTTGTCCAAAGGAGTTATATTATTCTACTGAAAAATGCTTTATTAATCGCCAAATCTACTCCAAATATATGCCATAAACTCGGATACGACCGAAACAAAAACTAGCGCCAAGAAAATTCATTTGACGCAAAATTGAACTGTTATTCTAGAAGGAAAACCATTAGAGTGAAAAATAGATCTGATAAGAATTAGCTGCAGAGCGATGAAGTTTACCTCAACTTTCCTCCTGCCCAGAGCAGCTAAAGCAGCAGCATCCTTGACTGCTGAAAGAGCAGCTACAGCAAGTTTCTATGCCTTGTCACTAGCACCATTCTGAGTGATGTTAGGACACTTCGCCAAAACATCTTCACCAGGTGATGACATCTTTTTTGGTGCCAATCCCAAAGATGTCTGATAGGGATCAACTGTAGAAAATATGAACTGCAAGAAGGAATTGAAAACAGTGACGTATTGATTGAAACTTATGGAATTATAGTAATGAAAGATAACAACTATAGCCTTTTGAGAGGGCTATTCTCTCCCATTCCTGACTTCACTACTAATATTTTGCATGCTCAGTCATGCTATCATTTTGCTATTTATAGATATTTCCTAACCACTTGTTGCCCTTCTAACTGAATTTGATACTACTAGCTGCTTCTCAATTCTTCTTGATCCTTCTAGAATGAATGAAGTTGATTGGTGGCCTAACAATACTCCGGGGTACCCAGAAAACTTGTCCTCAAGGTTAAAATCTAGAAATGTTGTTGAATGGAGGCCACAGATTCCCACGATGCTTCAGAGCTAGGTAGTCCTTTCCATTGAATTAGTACTTCTTGTTGCCCTGTTGCCAAGTCCCAAAGGTTGAGAATTTGTTCAGGTTCCACCATCCATTCCAAGGTAGAGTCCAAGGATGGAGGCAATTATAGACAAGTGACTGTTGTCTCAACAGTTTTTCGTAACTGTGACACAAGGAAGATCGGGTGAATTGTAGCTGAAGACAGCAGCTCTAGGCGGTATGCAACCGGTCCTACTCACTGGACAATTTTGAACGGGCTGAAATAGCGGGGACTGAGCTTCTCATTAATCTTTTTGGCCAAGGAACAGAGGCGGTCGGGTCTGAGCTTAACATACACTAAATCACCTTCGTTGAAGTGGACATCTTTGTGATGTTGATTTGCCTGCGTCTCATCTTATTTTGGGCCCTCAATAGATGAGACTTCAATTCTTCCAACATGGCTTCTCGATCTAACAGCTCTACGCGCAATACAATTGTGGCCTGTTTTCCATATCGAATCATCGGGGGAGGGGCGCGGCCATACACCACCTGGAAGGATATTGTATTTGTTGAAACATAACAGGTGGTGTTATACCAATATTCAGCCCATGGTAACCAACGAGACCACTGTCATGGTTTGTCGTACGAGAAGCTCCGCAAATATGTCTCCAGACAACGGTTGACAACCTCTGTCTGCCCATCCAACTGAGGGTGGTAAGCTGTGCTTTTCTCTAAATAGGTTCTTGCAGCAGAAAAAGTTCAGTCCAGGAGTGACTGAGAAAGATCTTATCTCAGTCCTAAATAATAGAGCACAGAATTCTATGAAGCCAGACGATTTCCCTTACAAAATTGTTACCACACCGGCAGCCATGAAAGGATGCTTGAGAAGTAAGAAATGGGCATATTTGTTAGACAATCCACTACCACAACAATCGAGTTATAACCCCCTGATTTAGGTAGCCCTTCTATAAAGACCACGGAAAGATCATCCTAAATCATGTAAAGACTGAGTCAGGGTTGCAGCAACCCGACTGGTGACAAAGATAAGTGTTTGTTCTGCTGGCAAATTGGACATTCTTCAACAAATTTTTTAACATCTTTCTTCATGCCAGTCCAATAGAAATCTGCTGTCAGGTGTTTGTAAGTGTGGAGAAACCTTGAATGCCTGCCTACAATGATACAGTAAAACTTTTGCAAGATCGTGGGAATTGAAAAGGAAGATTGTGGAATGACCAACCGTCCTTTGTAAAGTAATCTGCCATGATCCAATGAATGCGAGGCCGAGCAATTACATCCTCAAGTAGCTCCTTTTTAAGTTTAGAAAGCCAGGGGTCAGCTTCTACTTGGTCCATGATGGACTGGACATCCACAACCATAGGAAGAGTAAGGTTTGCTATTTCAACTAGAGGGGTAACTCGAGATAAGGTGTCGGCGGCCTTGTTTTCTAACCCTAGGCGGTATTGAATCTCAAAATCATATCCCATCTGTCAAAAAGGGGATGAATAATTGAGAGAAATTTCTGTAAAACGTGTGTATTCGTGTTGTCTCTATTGCATACATATATATTACAATCATTGAATATACAAGGAAAGTAAATAAACGTAATTGCTAAAAATCTGCTTTCTTCCCAAATATAAATTTAATTATATATGGTAACATCCTCCCTCAAATTGATGTGGGGAGATCAACCAGCATCAATTTGCCAACAAGGAATTGATGCCGCAGTCGAATCATTGCTTTGGTGAAGACATATGCCACCTGAAGATCAAATGAAATGTAGGGAAAGGAAATCACTTGATCTGTCAAAGTGTCACGAATAAAGTGACAATCGACCTCAATGTGTTTGGTGCGTTCATGAAAGACGAGATTGCCTGCAATTTGAATAGCACTAGTGTTGTCAGCATGGAGAGGAGTAGGATGAGTCTGAGGAAACCCCAGCTCCACTAGAAGACCACGTAACCAAATAATCTCAGAACAAGTTGAAGACATGGCACGATACTCAGCCTCAGTAGATGATTTAGAAATGCGATCTTGTTTCTTGCATCTCCAAGATATCAATGCATCACCCAAGAACATACACCAACCCATAGTAGAACGACGCGTATTTGGACACCCAACCCAGTCAGCATCACTGTAGGCTAAGAGTTGAAGAGAAGACCCTCTAGGAAAGAACAATCCACGAGTAGGTGATCCACAAAGATAGTGAACAATACGACGAACAGCCGTAAGATGAAGATGCCGAGGTGAAGACATAAATTGGCTGACCTGATGGACAGCATATGAGATATCTGGACGAGTGGTAGTCAAATAGATAAGACTCCCAACTAGACGACGATATAGAGTAGGGTCCTCTAGAAGATCCCCTTCTTCTTTCCTGTACTTGACATTGACTTCCATAGGAGTATCCACAGAAGAAGAATCCTCCAACCCAGTTAGCACAACAAGATCTTAAACATACTTATGCTGGTTTAAGAAAATACCTTGATCCTGATGATGAACTTCGAGGTCGAAGAAGTATGTGAGCTGACCAGGATCTTTCATGTGAAAAGTGGCATGCAAGCACTGTTGAAGCTTAGAAATGAAACCACAGTCTGTGCCAGTAATGATGTCATCTACGTAAACCAAAAGAAGTACAATACCCGAGCCAGATTTGTGAAAGAATAGAGAAGAATCATACTGACTCTGTGCAAAACTGAAGGTAATAAAAGTACAACGAAACTTCTCAAACCAAGCTCAAGGAGCCTGCTTGAGCCCATATAGAGAATGTCGTAGCCTACACACATCATGAGGAGAAGTAGGCATACCAGAGGGAAGTGTCATATAAATCACCTCATGAAGATCGCCATGAAGAAATGCATTCTTCACATCCAACTGATGGAGTTTCCATGATTGAGAAGCAACAATAGCTAAGACTGTTCGCACGGTGGTCATTTTGGCAACAAGAGCAAAAGTTTCCTCATAATCAACCCCATATTCCTGCTTCTTACCCAATGCTACAAGACGTGCTTTGTACTGATCCAAAGAGCCGTCAAAACGAAGTTTCACAGAGAAAACCCATTTACTCCCAATAGGTTTCACCGCAAGAGGGCAAGGAACAACGTCCCAAGTGTGATTCTCCTCAAGTGCTTGAAGTTCTGCGTTCATTGCATTTTGCCAACACTCATGTTCCATGGCCTGTTTATAAGAAAAGGGAATGGAAATAGTAGATAAAGTAGCTACAAGAGAGACAGGAGATGAAAAACTATACTGATTAGGCGATCGAGAAGGACGTGTAGACCGACGAAGACAGGTAGGAGCTATAGTAGGATCAGGTGCCGCGGTGAGATTGGGAGGGGGCACAAAAGGAGTGCCACCAGATTTTCAATTATGTCGTTCATATACGAGTCCCGATTTAAATCGCACCATAGGAGGAGGGGGATCAAAGAAAGGTAGGCAGGACAGATAAAGACGTAGATGGCAGGTCAACATGAGACGGAAAAAAATATTAGTTTTCAAGGAAAACCACATTCCTAGAGACACGGATGCGTCGAGTAAGAGGATCATAACAAACATAACCCTTTTGAGAGATAGCATAACCAAGGAAAGCATACTTAACAGATTGAGCAGTAAGTTTATGTCGCTCATGAAGAGGAAGATGCACAAAATAAACACAACCAAATGTACGTAGATCAGAGTATGATGGTAAGTATCCATATAACCTAAAGAAAGGAGAAGCATGATTTAAAGAGGGAGAGGGTAAATGATTAATTAAATGCACAGAAGTGGAAAGTGCTTCATACCAGAATCGAGAAAGTACAGATGAGTCAAGTAAAAGAGTTCGCACCATAACTAGAAGGTGACGATTCTTTCTTTTAGCAACACCGTTTTGCTGTGGCGTCGAAGGACAAGAACGCTGAGAAATGATACCCTTGTTTTAGAGAAAGTCCTGAAACTCATTGGACATATATTCCCCTCCAGAATCAGATCGCAAGATTTTTATATTGCTAGAAAATTGAGTCTCAAGAAAAGCAAGGAAACGTTTAAAAACTGAAAAGACATCGGCCTTGGCTCTTAAAAAATAAACCCAAGTAAAGTGACTAAAATCATCAATGAATGTAACAAAGTACTTATAACTTGCATGAGAAATAATAGGTGAAATCCCCCAAACATCACTATGAATTATATCGAAACATTGTGAGGCACGAGATCCATGAGAGGAAAAAGGTAAAATTTTACTTTTGCCAATTTTGCATGCAATACAATCAAAAGAAAGATCAGAAGAACATGCTTTATTACCCAATAAATCAGAATGAAATAAAGTACGAAGTACATTTGAGTTTGGGTGGCCTAAACGTTTATGCCATAATTTAGTATTGGTACTAATAGCATTACATGCAAAGGAAAGTAAAGGAGAACTAGGGAAAGGAGAAATATGTAAGGGAAAGAGTCGTCCCACTTTAGGCCCATTCGCGATCATTTTCTTAGACACTTGATCCTGCACAACACAACCAAAACGAGAGAAATGAACATCATAATTGTTATCAACTAATTGACCAATCGAAATTAAATTTGTAGAGAGGTTAGGAGACACAAAAACATTAGTGAAGGAAGAGG